TGGTGTTTCGGTCCCTCTGTGCCTGGCCGGCTCCTTCTCAGCCCAGGTAGTAAACCTGGTCTCGGAGCTGCCCTGCCAACCCTCAGGTGGCACCTCTCTGGCAGGTTGAACCTCGCAGCTGCTCCAGGGGAGAAAAACAGATATTTTCTGTGCAACGTATGGCCTCAGAAAACCCACTGGAGGATCAGCTACGAGACAGTTCTGACTTGACGGCAATGAGTTTTTTGTGTCTTGGAGAAATTATTTCCCACCTACCAGGCTAAGTCCCCGGATCCCCCTTCCAAAGCACAGCCGCCTCGCTCCCAGGTCTCTGCACCTGGTGATTGTTGACTGAGTTGCTCACTGCATGCACTTCGCTTCTCCCTCAGGGAAACCCACTGACTCTTCAGCTGACGTCCCAGGTAGGACTCTGGTGGGCTGCCTGCGGCTTGTCCAGCCACCCAGCTCTGCACTATCCAAAGGGCTCTAGTGGCACAATGGAATAAGGGTTAAAGTGCTAACCAAAAGGTCAGCAGTTCAAATCTACCCTCTGCTTCGAGCGAGAAAGATGTGCTGGTCTGTTTCTGTAAAGACGTGCAGCCTCGGAAACCCTCTGGGTCTGTTCTGCTCTGTCCTGTGGAGTCACAGAAGTTTGCGTTTTTGAGTCCTTCCTGAAGACACAGATCTGATGGTGGTGATGCTAACAGAGACCACAGATGACCTCAGCGTGGTCATTTCAGTACCAGCCAGAGACGTAAATGTGCCAGCCTTTCAGCCTGGGCACCTTTGATGTTAATGGTGCGCATCCCTTTGAGGAAAGCATGGCATGCCCTAGAAACTCCTTTTTTTTCTTGTTTTGGGCCATCAGATCAGGTCCGACTGGCACAGGATGAGATTGTCCCTCCTACTCCAGCAGACATCTGGTTGATTCGAACCACACACCTTCAGGATTGCAGTGCAGCTTCTTTCTACTACTAGACCACTGGAGCTCCCTAAAACTTTGGGGAGTTAGAGACAGAGATCTGGGGGTTCACAGCCTCAGCTCCCAGGGATAAGGGCAGCAGGTCCAGAGCCAGTGCCCAGTCTGGGAGCCAGCCTGCCTTGAGGGGCTTCCTGGAAGGCAGGGCAGGAGGTGGGCTGCTGGACAGGTGGGTGGGTGCAGGAGCTCAGGCCAGGAAGAGAGGTGTGTAGAGGGCCTGGGAGGGGCTGAGTCAAGGCCAGGCCATTGGGCACTGCTGAGCACCAGGCGGACGGTGAGGGGAGTGCAGGGTCACACCAGGTTCTTCTGGAACCGGCCCTGATCGGACACGAGCACCACCGAGGAGACCAGCTTAGGGAGGCGGATGGCTGAGACAGACGCTGGGCACTGGGCCAGAGTTGGGCAGACAAGGTGGAGGCCACCTGAGCTCTCCTTGCTCTGGGGGAGTCCTGTGGTGGCTGAGCTGGGGGCAGGGCATGACATCAGGCCTCACAGGGGTGGGACTGTGGCTGTCGGGCTTTTGGCCTGTCACCCACTTTCCACCCTTTCACCTCACCTTCGCCCAGCGAGGCCACGTCTCTTCACATCTTGACGCTGACCCGAAAATGACAGCTTCTCCCCGGCTCTGCAGTAGTCAGTAGACACAGGGAGGGCCCCAATGTAGCAAGTGGCAGAGCCTCCCATCTACGGCTGTCCACCAGGTTTCATAACACTCAAGTCACCCCCAAACGTGGCCAGGGCCCAAGTGTCAGGACCTGGAACCTGGTAACGCCCTCCTCCACAGCCTGCTCCTGCCCAGCTGTGAATGTCCAGGGGTCCTCCATCCACCTCCATCCATCCGGTCCCCTATTGGAACCCTTCTCTCAAGTGCTGCTCTCCCAGAAGTTTGGTCGACCTCTCCAGACTCAGTTTCTCCATCTGTAAGATAGAGATGTTGTACCCAATAAGGTGTAGATTACATAGATCCCACACAAACATACCTGTGCACCCAACCTGTTGCCGGGGAGTTGATTCTGACTCCAGGAGACCCTGTGTGTTCAGGTGCACCATAGGATGTTCAGTTGCAACCTTAATAGAAACAATTTGCCAGGTCTTTCTTCTGCATCTCTACTGGGTGGGCTTGAACCACCAACCTTTATGTCAGTAACAAACACACTCCTGGTGGAGCCAGTTCCAGCCCCCTCTAGAGTTTCTCAGGCTGTAAATCTTTACTGGAGGAGACTGTCCATCTTTCTCCCTCTGACACGGTTTGAACCACTGACCCTGAGATTAGTAGCCATGCGCTTTAACCACCGAGCTATCAGGTATCCTCACTCACTCACTCACTCACTCACTCACTCACTCTAGTCCTCGAGGTGGAATCGATGATGGCTGACCTCTCAGACTGGTTTTCAGAGGCTGTGACTCACACTGGAGGGGGCTGCCCAGCTCTCCGGAGGACCAGCTGGTGGACCAGAACCGCCTGACTTTGGGTTGGCAGCATACCTCCCTTATTCAGTCAGTTTCCTCCCTCATTGGTTTACCTCACAGGATTTCCAAGCTCTTGCACTTTTCCACTTGGGGTGGGGCCCTGACCTGGGGAGAGGAGACCCCTGGGAAACACCCTGGACTCAGAGCAAAGCAGGGTCTGCTGCTTTCTGTCCCTGTGTCCAGTGAGTGGGTGGCCTGATCCCAGCATGAAATGTAGGCAGAGCGGTCCCTGCTCACCTGGATGGAAGAACAGCATCTTCTTGGGGAGGCCTTCACCACCCCTCTGCCCAATGGCCTCCTTCAGAGATGACAGCCCCCATCCAGGGCAGCGGTGCGCCCCTGACCCAGTCCAGAGAGGACATCTTCTCAACAAGTTTGAAATTCCATGGGCATCAAAGGTGCTGGAGTGAAACGCAGGTCCTCGGCATGTGGGACTAGGGATTCTATACACCTGTGAGGCAGGAGACGCCCATCACCCTTCAACCACCAGCAGCTGGGCCTTCTCCCCAGTGTGACTGACCCCCAGGCTCACTGGCCTCCTGGAGACCACCACACCTCCATCCTGCACTCCACGGTCTGAGACCCCCATAGGTCTGTGACCTGGTTATGCCAGAGGGGAGATGATGGTATTCCTGGGACAGGGGACCCCAAAGAGAATCCGGTGACCACACCTCCATCCTGCACTCCACGGTCTGAGACCCCCATAGGTCTGTGACCTGGTTATGCCAGAGGGGAGATGATGGTATTCCTGGGACAGGGGACCCCAAAGAGAATCCGGTGGGGAACGGGACCGGAGGTGGACAGAAGTTTCAATGTGATGAGGTACAGCACTGATGAGAACCCAAGTCTCGTGCCAGGCTGCCTTATTCCTCCGTGGGACCTGGTGGCCTGGGTGGAGGCAGGGCTCACCGGGGAGGAGGCGCAGGAACTGCAATTGGGCAGGAATGAGATCTTGATGGGACGGGCATGGAGAGAGTTGAGGCCTAGATGAAGTGGGCCCCTGACTGGTCAGGCCTCAGTAAGTGGGGTCCTGATAGAAGCAGGACGCAGCGGATAGAATTTTGATGGGGTGATTGGACAGGGCTTCAGTGGGTGAAATCTTTATGTGAATGAGGCTTTAGAAGGGTTGTTTCCATTGGGTGGGACATGCGACTTTGCTAGGGTGGAACTTTGGAGGGGCGGAACCTGGATGTGGGCGGGGCTTCATTGGTTGAGGCCCCAATGAGATGCGTGGGTTGGGGACTCAGGGAGGTGGGGCCTTGATGAGGAAGTGTCAGAGGATCAGAAATGAGACCTTAAGGGAGCACTGGTGGCTTAGTGGCGAGAAGTTGCGCTGCAATCCCAGAGGTATGTGGTTCAAATCGACCAACTTCTCTATTGGAGAAGGTGGGACAATCTCCTCCTGTACCAGTCAGATGTGATTTGATGGTACACACACACACAAAATAATAAAATAAAATTTTTTTAAAAAGAAGTGAGACATTAGTGGAGTGGGGCCCTCATGAGATGGGGCCTTGATGGAAACCGGGTTTCAGTGGGGTGAGGTTCTGTTGGGGACATGACTTCAAAGGGTGTGTCCACAAAGGCCTGGTCACGGTGGGCCTGGCCTTAGTGGGCGGGCCCTCAGTGAGGGTCCGTTGCTTAGAAACCACTCAGTACTTCCTGTGGTGCTAGAGTTGGAAGAAAAGGGGACCATTCCCGAGAACAGAATGACCACAGCGTCTTCTGTCATGAGGGACAGCCACACACCAGCAAAGCTTTCTTGGCCATTCAGTTTTTAATTAAAGGAGAGAAAAAGAACTAAAAGTACAATTGCTAGAGAATTTTCTTTCTTTAAAGATAAATGATCGTCCCTCCCACCCACCAAATTGTGCAGCCCTGTGATTTCGTCCCTGCCCATCCTCTTCCTTCTGCTCCCAGCCCTCACCCCCTTGTATCCCTATACATGTTTTTCACAATAAAAAAGGAAAATGATTGTTTTGAGGTGGTAAAAAAGAAATTAACTTCCTCACGTAGAAAATCTAGAAAAATGTATTCTCAACTATTGCAAATAGATTTCTCAGGCTTGTCAGATCCCAGGATATTTTTTTTTATATTTTTTATTAGTAATAAGTTTCTTTTTCTCATTCTGGCTTAATGAAAATATATTCTTTGTAAAGCAAGATGCTTTCATAAAATAAGTTTGTTTCTTTTTTTAAACCTGAAGAGGAAGTGGGAAAAATGGTGTCACATTGGGGTTTGCAGTCAATGACACAAAACAAAAAGTTCACGAATGTTGAGTGGAAAACCAGCGTGCTCTGTAAACAGTCACACAAATCACAATTAAAAGTTTCCAAAAAATTCACGACACACAAGATCTTGAAATCGGTGCGCGTGCCTCCCGGGAGTGGCCACAGGTTGTGCTGTGTGGGTGTGGCCAGCCAGGCGTGGACAGACACCACGTCCAGCCCAGGGCTTTTTCTGGAAAGCCGGCCACTTCCTCGGCCTCTTCTCCCCGCTGCAGATGGCCTTGTGGTTGGGTGACAGCCCACCAGTCACTTAAAATGTGCTTCTATTTGGGTTCTGTCCCCAGGCTTCTGAAGGTGTCCCCATGAGGCTCTTCACGAAATTAGACCAGCTCATCGAGTTCTACAGGAAAGAGAACATGGGTCTGGTGACCCACCTGCAATATCCGGTGCCGCTGGAGGAGGAGGACACGGGGGACGAGCCGGAGGAGGAGACAGGTGAGGGGGAGCCCGCAGGTGGGGCTGGGATCAGCCTCACGGCCCCGCTTTGCCAAGGCAGACAGGAGCGGGGCTGAGAGGGGCTGACCTGGGCAGGTCGTCCTTTCTCCTCCACCGCTCATATCCGAAAGGCAAGTCCCAAACCTGATGGGGGCTGGGGAGCCCCGTGCTGGGATTCTCAGGTTCAATTCCAATCATGTGCTCCCTGCATGGCCATGGCCCATCTATTTGGGGGGCTGAGCCCCACGCCCTCTCCTGTAGAGAATCTGAGGACACTTTGGGCGAGCTTGCCATTGCTGGCTGCTCTTGTCCACTGTCAGTGCCCCTCAGACCACCCACTCTCAATCCTGGCCAATCGCACACATGCACTCACGTGTGTACACATACACAGACGCATGCACGCACATGGCTGAGGCGTCTATCGGTGCCCCAGGCCCATGACCATTAGTGCCAGGTGCCCTCAGAAGGCTCACATGGGACCTGGTGGCTCCGAGGAGCTGTCCCCTCTTGAGTCTTGCAGCCAGGAATCTATACAATGGGCTCAGTCCTCTTAACCTCACAAGTCAAGCCCCCAGGGCCCCAAATGTGTCTGTAGGTCTGTGTGAGCTCCTTCAGAAAAGGATTTTCAGAAGATCACTTGACCTGAAGTACCATTGGGTGGTTTCTAACTTTCAGCTTCTAGGATAGCAGTTTGCACTACTCAGGGACTCCTCAGAGGGCTGCATTAAAGTGTGTCACACACACACACACACACAAAAAAAAGTGTGTCACACAGGAGGACACAGGTGGGTCCCCAAGGATTATACTCTCCCTGAGAGCCCCCCAGAAAAGCCCCCCCAGAAAAGCCCAGTGCCCTCTGACCAATGCTAACCTTCCACTGGGTTTCTCAGGCTCCGTCTTTATAAGAGGAGTCTACCTCATCATTCTCCCACAGAGTGGCTAGGGATTTGAACCGCCAACCTCTCGGCAGCTCAGCACCTAGTCTGCTGCTCCCTGGTGCTTGGAGAGGCCGGTGTTGAATCGGAACGACATTGCTGCTCTTCTCCTGGGTAGAATGTGGCACAGCCCCTCCTGAACTGCCCCCGAGGAATATCCCTCTGTCTGCGGGGCCGTGCGAGGCCAAGGAAGCTGCTCTCTCTGTGGAGAACGCCCATGGGCCGGAGGTCAGCAGGCCAACGCTGTCCGAGACGTTACTGCAGCGGCTGCAGAGCATGGACACCAGTGGGTGAGTGAATCTCCAGCCACCTTCCCCCAGACGCCCACAGAGCCTGGGATCCCGTCCCCATTCCAGATGACACGTGGGCCTCCATCGTGCAGGGGCCGACGGTTTAGTCCTTCACCCTCGGAAATCTCTCTCCAAGCCCTGCTTCTTCAGTTACTAACTCAAACCAAACAAGCCAGTTCCATCCGCTCACTTCTGACTCACTATGACCCCACGTGGGTCAGGGCCTCCTCAGGATCTAATTTCCCAGAAGTAGGTTGCCAGGCATTTCTTCCAAAGCCCCTCTGGGTGTTTTCAGAGCTCCAGTCTTTCAGTTAACCATGCCCACTACCGGAGACTTCCGTTTTATTACTTGTTTTATACCATTGAGTCAGAACCACCCACAGCTGATCCACTAGCAGCTTTTCAGAGCCAGTAAACCAATGGGAGGAGCTTGCCCATCCTTCTTCCAGGGAGCAGCCGGTGCACTTGAACTCTGTGCCTTTGGGTTGGCAGCGCACCTCCTTACCACTCGGCCGCTGTTTATGGTAAGGTGCATGCCTTCCATACGCTCTCTTGGCCAAGATGATATTCTCTCTTGCACACATTGCTTGTTCTCGTGCGTGGCCTGTGTTTCCATCGGAATCTGGGGACACTTGTACCACATTTTGTGATCTCCTTAAGTGACTAAAGGAGCTGGTTGGTGGCTCACTGGTCAAGCACTCCACTGTTCACTGAAAGGCTGGCAGTTTGAAGCCAGCAGCTGCCACGAGAAGACGCCAAGGGCGTCTGCTCCGTGGGGATCACGGCCTCGGGAGCCCTGTGGGCACTTCTCTGCCCCAGAGTCGCAGGGAGCTGGAGGTGACCTGGCAGCAAGCTGTCCTTTCCACATCTATGCTGTGAGCTGCTGGCCCAGCATCTGTGTGACGACTCTGCCTCGGCCATGGCTGCCTTTCTGTCTGTGCTGTGAGCCGCAGGCCCAGCGTCTGTGTGGAGAGTCTGCCTGGCTGTGGCTGCCTTTGTAAGCATGAGGGAGCTTGTCCGTGAATGCTTTTCGGGTCTTTGTGTCACAGCACCAGCCTTTCTCTTCAGACTGGCAGATGGCTTTTCTGCTTAGAACCCTTCTCCAGGCCAATGTCGCCTCTCTGTCCAGGATGAGGCCTGAGTCACAGTGCCGTGGAAGGGCATCAGGTCCTAGTGGACCCCTTCTCCACTAGTCTCATGCAGGAGGTCCGGCTGCCTCTCGTTTTACACACCGGACACTGGGTCCCAGGAGGTGTAGCCACAGGCCCCTGCACGGGCCCAGGATGTCCACTGTGACGGTCCAGGTCGCTGACCTCCGTGTTACAGCCCAGCACCCATCAGGCCCCATCAGAAGACCCTGGAGTTGCCGTCTCGTTGGTGGGGACGCGGGCCTGGATGACTGCTACAGAACAGTTACACATGTGCCAGGTGGGGGCTGGGCCCCCAGAGCCTGGAGGTCTGAGCTAACTGACGGTGCCTAGCTCACAGTCTCCTCCCCGCCCCCCTCCTGGGCCAGCAGTACAGGGGTTAGGACCCACACACAAGTTTTAGGGGACTCGGTGCAATCCATAGCAAGAGGGTTGCTGTGGCCTTGTAAATCAGGACATCTGTGTCCTCTTAAAGACAGGGCCGGGCATCAGCTCTAACAGGTCAGAGAGTCCAGTCCAGAGGCTCCCCCTGCCCGGTGCAGGCTGGATGCCCAGCATAGAGCAGGCACAGGCTGGACACGCGGGGCCTGAACTCAGAAGTTAGCGCTCTTCTTTACAAAGGACTTTGTAAAAAACCAACCAACCAAGAAACATTTTTTGTTGTTGTTGTTGTTCCTGTTATTGTTTGTGACAAAGAGGCCCCGAAGAAGTTCTGCCTGGGAGGGCTGAAGCAGCGCCCCCAGCTCCAGAGATGGTTCTGAGAAGCAGGCAGTGCTGGAGGCGGGCGCGAAGCCGCCCTTGTTGCTAAGATACCTGGCCGTTTCCATTCCCACCTTAGCAAAGCCTTCAGGCTGCCTGGAGTATGTTCTCTGCGCGTTCCTTGAATTGTTTCTGCTGTTTATCAAATAGCCAGATACTCAAGTGTTTAGAATTATTTCCTATCTTCCGGTATCTGTGTCTAAACACCAAATGCTTGTTGAAATGGTCCACGTGGACCTGCCGCTTCTTTTTTTCCTGTGTGTGTGTGTGTGTGTGTGTGTGTGTGTGTGTGTGTGTCTTCACCTTCTGGGGCTTCCAGAATGAAATACCATCACGTGGGTGGCTGTGGAGCACAGAGACGCATGTTATCACAGTTCTGGGGGCTGAAAGTCCCAATTTAGGGTGTCAGCCGTGTTAATTCCTCCCGAGGACTTGAGAGAGGAGCTGTTCCTTGTTTCTGGTGGCGGCAGGCCGTCCCCGGTGTCCCGCTGCTGTTTCTTGAAGCATCTGCCTCTGTGTCATGTGGGGCCATGTTCCATCTGTGAGTGGCTGTTTCCATGGTGGTCCTTGTCTTTCATAAACTGTACTCTGGAGAGATTAGGATCCACCCAGTTCCAGTAAAACACTGTTGAAATCCAACGTCTTTAAGGAAGACAGCTCCTTTTGGTTTCAGGAATGCTGCTTTCATGGGTCTTGATTCTGGATCCAAGAAAAATGATCTTTGACCACCTCAATCTTTTCTCCATCGATCATGATGTTGTTTATTGGCCCAGTGATGAAGATTTTTGTTTTCTGGGTGTTTATTTGTAATCCATACTGAAGATTAAGCATCAATTACACTTAGATATTATGTTATTTGGAGTGCAAATCGTTGCTAATTTTCTTTCTCAATCTAAATTCAAAATGGCAAATTAGCTATCTTCTAATCCTGAAGGCAACAGCTTTTCATGTTTTCAAGGATCCAGTAGAAGTAATAACACTTGAATGGCTGTTGGCGGTGAGTGAATGATATGATACACAAAATTAATGCCGTTGACCTGGACATGGCCATTGACCTGGACATGGGGAGTTTGTAGCTGCAGCAAATATTCTACTGCATACATGCCAAACCCAAGTTGACTGCTGCCCAGTGTATTCTGACTCCTAGTGACCCTGTAACACAGGGTAGAAAGGCCAAGAGTCCCCAAGGCTGTCAGTCTTTATAAATGCAGGCTGTTCACCTTTCTTCCACTGAGCGACTAGTGGGCTCAAACTCTCAGCCTTTCGGTTGGCAGCCAAGCACGTTGATTACTGTGCCACCCGGGCTCCTGTTGCTATGTCTTTTTAAGTGCCTCTCAATTGCTGTCAAGTGGGAGCCGGCCGACAGCTGACTCCAGTGGGCTTTCAGAGGCTGTAAATACACAGGAGGAGGTCGCCCATCTTTCCCCCACGGAGCTGCTGGTGCAGAGACGCCGGCTCTGGGTTCACAGCACAGCTGCCTAGGACTACACCACCAGAACCCCCATTACCTGTGCACGCAGCACAATAAAAAGAAAGGGGGGAGAGAAAGGGAAGAGGGAAGAACATTTGTGATTTCTGGTTTCTATTGGATATAGAGCTCTAGTGGCCTCGTGGCAAGGTGCTGCACTGCAATCTTGAGGGTACTGGGTTCAAATCCACCAGTAGCTCCACGGAAGCAGGATGGGCAGTCTCCTCTGTAACTGCCTCTGAAAACCCACTGGATGGTCAGCTATGGGGCGGTTCCTACTTAATGGTACACAACAAAAACAACCACCTTTGTTTATATACCAAGCTTGGAGCAAAGATATTCGAGTGTTACAGTTTTTCCTACTTGGAATTAACGTCATTGATCCTTAGTTTGTGCATTTGTAAAGCAGGAGAAATGATACCACTGCAGAGATGGCTTGAAAAGAAAATGCACATAAAGTGTCAGAAGGTAGTTATGCTGCATAAACACTGCTGTTATTATGAAGACAGACTCTAGAGTTACCCAGAGCAAAACAGTGCTGGGGTCAAACTTCAGCGACAATGCCAGGTGGGCTCCACTGGGGCAGTGTGGGTGTAGGGCAAACCCCTGTCCTGTCAAGCCCCAGGTATCACCTGTGCTGACCTGCTACACCTGCCTGGTCAGACCCACGGGCCTGTGGGTGTGCCTATCTGTATGGGAGGGCAGTGTCTCAACTGGACACCCTGGCGGTGAGAATTGCCCGTGGCAGATGCTGCTGCTGCTGCTGTCCTTGGTTTGGGTGGCTAAATGGAAAAGGCTAACTTCCTTGTGACCTATGAGATGGATATTTCCCACCAAAAAGTTCAGATTTCATGGGAACCTTCTGTCCCAGATGGGGTCTGTGCTGCCCGCTGGCGGGAACCTGTGTAACTGAGGGAACCCCTCCACCTGAATCCACCTGGGACGCTGCGCCCTGCGTGACTGTATCAAAATCCAGACAAGCTCAGAAATATTTACCTTGATTTCAGCTTGCCGCCTTTTACTGAAAGCGTGTGGTATCCAGAATCCAAAACAGTCGTAAAGGGTTGAACTGCTGTTACTGTTTTAGCCGCTGTTGTTTCGTGTTTCCATTTGATTTCTTTCCAGACACATTGAATGAGTCTTCACTATCTCACTGAAATGAGGTCATTCTGTTCATTGTCTTATTCGCAACGATGTTTGAGCAAATATCAGGGGCCGACCTGGCAGTATCTAGTGAGGTTCTGACTGTGTGTGTGTGACACCGCCTCCCTCTCCTTTCTGTTTTTAAAAAGTGTTCTCTGGTGTTATCTGCAGCCTTCCCGACGAGCACCTGAAAGCCATCCAGGACTACTTAAGCACGCAGCTGGCCCTGGACTTGGAGTTTGTGAAGACGGGGTCCAGTAGCCTCCCGCACCTCAAGAAGCTGACCCTGCTCCTGTGCAAGGAGCTGTACGGGTAAGGACTGCCCAGGGGCCGAGGGCTCGCGTGGGTCGCCAGCCTGACCCGGGCTGGGCTGGCGTCCACCCACCTCGCCACTCGCAGGATAATTGGATGCTTAGCTGAGCTCTGAAGACCCGGTGGCTGTTTGGAGGTTTTGTTTTCATGGTGTTTGAACTGTAGCTTGTTTGTTTTCTTAGAAATTGATTTGAGGCCAGTTGCTGTGGGGCGGCAAGTGGGGGCGAGGACTTGCTGGCAGGGCACGGCACTGAAGATTTTTGATTCTACGCTCCCTTCTTGTCTTAGCTGCCTTCTGTGAGGCCGGGGTGGACCAGCAGAAAGATCGTCTCACACACACACACACACGTGTGAGAGAGCCTGGGTTCGATTCCCAATCAGGTCACCCTGTGTACAGCCTCCAGCTATCTGTCATTGGAGGACTGGCTTAGCTGGGTTCTCTGGAGCAGCAAAACCAGTGACGTTTACAATACATATTATACATGTATAGTACGAAGATTCTCACCACTGGGCCGGTTGGCAGCATCATGACAGGTAGTGAAGAGATTGAGATTACTGACAGCTTTAGTTTGCTTGACTCTACAATCAACACTCTTGGTACCAGCAGCCAGGAAATGAAAAGACGAATTGCATTGGGAAAGTCTGCTGTCAGAGAGCTCTCCAAGGTACTGAGGAGCAACGATGTCAGTCTAGAGACTAAGGTGTGCTTGATACAGGTCATGGTCTTTGCCATTACTTGCTCTGCTTCAGAGAGCTGGACAATGACAAGGGATGATAGAAAGAGACTTGATGCCTTTGAGCTGTGGTGCTGGAGAAGAGTATGGAATATAACATGGACTGCTAGGAGAACAAACAAATTCATCCTGGAGAGGGTGAAACCGGGATGCTCCTTGGAGGCAGGGATTCTGAAGCTTCATCTGACATACTTTGGACATGTTGCAAGGAGGGACCAGTCCTTGGAGAAGAAAGTCATGCTTGGAAGGGTGGAGGGACAGCATAGGAGAGGAAGATCCTCAATGAGATGGATTGATTCTGTCACTGTGGTAATGGAGATAGACATGTTGGAGACAGTGAGATTGGCAAGGCATAGAGCAGGGTTAGGGCTGTTGTATACAGGGTCACTATGAGTCACAAGTGACTTGATGGCATATAACAACAACAATACATAGGGGCCTAGCCCATAGGGGGCTGGGCTGATAACCCCTCTCTGGCAGTTTGAATCCACTCGTGTCTCTGTGGGAGAAAGAGGCACTCTCTCTTCCTGTGTGATTTACAGCCTCAGAAACCCAGTTGGGAGGTCAGATGTCAGTTCCATCTTGTCAGCAATAATCTGGGCTTTATATGTAATATACATATCTGTGTTAAATACTAAGAAATAAAATCTCGAGGAAAAGGTACAGGTGTTTGTAGAGCCTGGCAAGACCCAGGTCCGGGGGCCAAACCTCAGGAGAAACACGTCTCACTTAGAGGTGGAGGCTGCCCACACAGTGGGCAAGTTATGACGCTGGCTCAAGTTCAGGAACAGATGACCAACCAGATGCAGCATCTAGACCAAAGCAAGCGAGCTTTGCCAAACGTCCATCCCTGCGGGGCGAGGGGCGCAGCCCTGAAGGACACCCTTCTTCTGGTTGGTTGCTCACAGCAGAGCTCGTGCGGGAGGTGATCGTGTTATGTAAGGTCTCATCAAGGGCACACATCACATCACATCTCATCAAAGAAATGAGAGCAGCACAGCCCCTGGCCCGGAGGCTGAAATGCTGTGATGCTGAACCCATTTCAGCAGAGTTTCTAGATTGATGTGCCTATGAAGAAAGGCCTGGCGATCTCCCTCTGAAAGCTGGCTCACAGGCATCCGCTCAGCAGCAGATCAGGAGGGTGGGGCAGGACCCGGCAGTGTTGCGTTGTTATATGGGGTTGTGTTGTACTGTCTTGTGTGGGGGTGGACAGGAGCCCAGAACCGACACTCCACGGCAGCTCACGGCCACAGCAGCGTCCACAAACGCACCAGGACATGCTAGGGAACTGCAGCTCAGCCAACCGCCTGCCAGCGTGGGGAGGGCCCCACGTTCCTGGGATGGCCAATTTTTTTAAAGCCAACCAATTAACCAACTCTTCAAATTTCCACCACTGACTGAGTTCACCGAATGACCGCTTGATGAAAATTCTGATTTCTTTTGGATTCTTTCGATTTTTGCAATTTTAATTTAGTTAACATTTAAATCCATTAAAGTCAGGATTACAGCCTACTTCTGAGGAATTCACGGGAGACTATTTTATACTTAAAATACTTAAAGCTTAGAAGTATAGAAAGTAGCATTCAAAAACATCTGAAAGAAATCTCAAGGAACCAAAACAATCTCACCACACATAAAAGGTGGACATTGTGACAGGAAAATGGCCTTTCATGTGCATGAGGGTCCCCTGGTGCACATGACCCTGTGTTTTATCGTTCATCCAGCTGCTCCTGTCAAACCCTCGGAAGCCGTCTCAGCCTTAGCCTCGTTACTGCACAGAAGAGACCATTTCCTTGTCAGTAATCAAATTTGACTTTCCCCTTAAAGGCTTTTAATACCATAAGTACATTTGGTAAATTTAGCAAAGCATTTCTTTAACAAATTGATCATTCGTCAAATTTGCCACAAGCCAAATCCACTGCCTTCAAGTCAGCTCCATCTCACTGTGATCTCACAAGACAAGGAACTTCCCTGCAGGTTCCAAGGCTGAGATCTTTGCTTCCACAGGCAGATTGACACATTTTTCTTCTTTGCAGCAGCTGGGGTGGGGCGGGGGTTTGAACTACTGACCTTTCGGTTAGCATCAGAATGCCTTAGCCACAGCACCACCAGAGATCTTGCCCAAACCCCAATAAAGCAAACTCAAGTTGCCATCAAGTTGATCCCAATTCCTAGTGACTCCCCTTTGAGTTTCAAGGGTGTACATCTTTATGGGAGGAGAACAGCTGTTTCTCTCTCACTCACAGAACAGACGGTGGATTCGAACTGTTAACCTTTTGGACAGCACCTGACATGTAGTCTGCTCTGCTGAGCACCTGACGTGCACGCCTCTCAGCTAATGAATGCTCTTTCTGCTAGCTGTGTCAGACGCCTTCATTTTCATAGGTTTCTGTGAAGGAGCTTTGTCGCAATTGACAGTATTGTTATCAATCACATGCAAAATATCAGAGGAAACAGATGACAGAAGGCACGTTCTGTGTAAGAAGCCCAGTTTTCTGACGGCTGGGAGCAGACCTGTTGTTCTGCTTCATGTGTGAACCTGTTCTTTGTTGCTTTCTAAGCTGAGGAGACATACCTTTGAGACCTTCCTCACAGTACCTCAGTGCCTTTCACCCAGAAGCAAGTTTCCAGCCTTTGCCCTGTTGCCATGACTTCCCTGGGATCTGGTCACCTCATCCTTAGACACCAACAGCTTCTGTGACGCATTGCACTCAGCACTGAAAACTTCCCTCCTGCAAACTGCATCAGCATTTTAACCAACCAACGAGTGAATGGTGATACGGCATCACCAGTACTCTTCATTGGAGGTTATGAAAATCACCCTGTAGTGTTAAAATAGAATTTGAAAATCAAATCACAAAACAGCAGCGCCAAAGAGAAGTCTCCATGGAAAGCATGGGTGGAGTAGGTAAGCATATGCAAAAAATAGGTCATGAAATATCAGTAGCCTTGGAGAGTGGACACATGAAGCTGGTGGGGTCAGCTCTCAAAGAGGCATGGGGGGAATGATGCATAATTAACGATAATACATTTTTAAAAACCCAGGCTTACAAAAGAGCTAAGACCAAATAAATGTTTTAAGAAGGTTTAATTACTATAGCATTAAATAGCAGCACCTAAACTCTCTTCTATATTTCTAAACCTTAAGGAAAGGTGACTTTGGCAAGTAAGTTAGTAGAAGCAGGCCCATAAC